ACGTTCGAGTGTCCTTAGAGAATAGGAATAGATCACTAAGCATGTTCGACAGGTAAAGCGATATTTCACGGTGACTTGCAAGAAATTTTTGGACCACTGACTGTCCATCTTTGTTTCTGAAGAAGATTAAAATGAGCTTCGTCTAGGATTAGGAAATGTGTATACTTAAGTAATACACAATTGCGTAATTTTTTCTTCGATTTACGAATGACTTAAATAGTCCTTTAATTAAATTAGTAATTTATGATTATGCGATTATTGGAATATTTAAATAATACTTATCACTTACGTTCCATACTATTTCTTTTTTCAATTTATTGTGCAAGGAAATTTTATTCAAAAACCAGTGTTTATCAGATTTAGATAATTAATCATCAAAATAAAAATTGGGTCATCCAGGAAGTTTTCGTGGTTTTTGTGGTAGATTTAATTGTCGCTACATATTTATTTATAATTGTGCGACATATTTTTATACTCGCCATCATTCATACTTTTGCTTCTAAAAAAAGCTAGCTAATTCTGCTTCGTCCTTTACGTAGCAAATTTTATATTTAAACACAAGTTATAATTTTATATTATTGGTACAGTGCATAAAAAGAACATTTACTCACTATCTTATTACAAGCAATCAACAAGTGCATCTAATTTTATTTTAAAAAATTTTGGAAGTATCTTAAAATTTCCAAAAAATTTGTCTATTCCGAAACATTTTCATTTTTTCACGTTATTGTTAAAAAGTCACACTTGCAGAATGTTTGACTAATTTACGAATGATTCTCCAGGAGTAGAAAAGTTGCCGAAAGTAATTATTATACTTCGGGGAGAAAAACTGAAGCTGCGAGAGTCTGCGCAAAGAAAAACACTCGAGATTTTAACGCGTCGCAAATTTGCACCGCGGAAAGAATAAACATATTACGGAAACAAATTTCCACGGTTGGTCGAGGAACGTTGTAGAAGTTTTACCGTGGCCACGGAAAAACTTCCGTGCTCGCGATTCTCTGCTTTGCCTCGCGATCATCCAGTAAACCACTGTAAAGCCGATAATGGACGTCGTAACAGGTTCCCGTTCGACTTCTTGGCAAACCTTTGCCTTCTGAATTTAGCCAAAGACCATCGAGGCTGCTTGCCAAAATGTTTATGGCGACTTCTTGAACTAATATCGAAGTTCAACATCGAGTACTCGAGCAGCATTTTAATATAACTAATGAGCGGCTGCCGGAACAGGAAGCTGATATATCATCTTGGAAAACGTTCAGACTGTAAGAAATGTAGATCGAAGAGATTTTCCAATAAATTTTATTCCATTTTTTTGCTCTATTTAAATGTACCTTGAAACTTTATATAATAAATTGCCTGTTTTAATTTGCGTCTTGCAATTAAAGGACGATAAATGTGATTTATGAAATAAAGTAGATAATAAATGAAAAATTGAAAATTTGAAGGGAGACGATGTTAACGAGTTGGAAAGAATTATTTTGAGGAATTTTAGAGGGGGATAGAAATTAAAGAAAATAATAAATCAGGAATAGGTATAAATTGAAACTTTGAAGGGAGACAATGTTAACGAGATGGAAATATTATTTTGAGGAATTTTAAAGGGGGAAAGAAATTTATAAACTTACGTTGAGGAGTTTTAGAGGGGGATAGAAATTAAAGAAAATAATAAATCAGGAATAGGTATAAATTGAAACTTTGAAGGGAGACGATGTTAACGAGTTGGAAAGAATTATTTTAAGGAATTTTATATTTTGTCTAATTTTTTTCAAAATTCTGATTTAACTTTCTAATTATTTTGTAATATGAGCAAAAATTAATTTCTATTAAAGGGAGAAAATTTATTACAGTTTTCTTCACCTTGCATTAAACACGTTTCACGCCACGTGGCTCGCCGACAGCTCACGATATCTATTAAAAGCGCAACTTCCATTAAATGAGCAAGCACATTCTCCGCAACTATTCTACAACTCTTGGACCTAATTCCACTATCTTCTCAGAAATCCCCACTTTTACTCGGACGCTCGTTCACCGCAAAACACTCGCTCCGAAATAAACGAAACCAAATTAAACCGTTAAATTAAAGAAAAATAGAAAAAGAACAAGAGTTGAAGCATCATTACATGTACTTCGTCGAACGACACGTTTATCTCTGTTATCTCGAGAGCAGCGTTTCAATTAACCCAAGGGAGAAAATTCACGATGCGTGACCGTGGTTTCCTTTCGCACAGAAGAGCCCGAGGGGGCCTTGCGTTTCCATCTAGGGAGCAGTTTTCGCGGGTGAAAAGGCCCGGTTAGGCGATAATAGGCCGGATATAAACGGGTCGAATGGAATTATCGTTTCCGGCCGCTTTCGGCACTTCCGTTCAAAAGAATCGCTTTAGCGGTCTTAAGGAGCGTCTGTCGTAATTCCATTATCACCCCCGGAATGGCATTAGCATAATAACGAATGGCACTTTTTAAAAGTTCCAGCACGAAGACCTCTCCCTCTTTACCTCTCTCTCTCTTTTTCGCTTTCGACAGAGGGGGAGGAGAATCTCATCTTAACTTGATAGCACAAGATGCCGGAGCTTTAGAATGTAATTGAATTTAAATTGAAATTATGATCGCGCGGCTGGTATCGCGTAAGCCTGCTCGAGTCAAGGTAAATAAACCTAGGACAAGTTGCGTGGTCGCCACAGAAACTCGCGATGGAAACGGAAATTTGTAAAATGTGGGAGAAAAATGAAGGAATGAGAGGTATTTTGTGATACGAGGGTGGATAATTGATTTGTTGAGGGGAGAAGGATGGTTTGTTGATTTTTCGAGGTTTACTTGGAACAAGTGGTTCTGATGGAATTTTTGTCGATTTGTGAAGGGTGGGAATTCGAAGGAAACTTAGGGTAGAATCTAGAAGAACGAATACAATTCTTTGAAATTTAAAAAAGTCGAGTGAACCAATGTTATTCTTTTGGATTTCTATCTGGGAAGCTCAATAGCAGTTTTAGAAAGTAAAGTTAATGTAAAATGGGTGAAAATCAGAAGGAAATTTGGATTAAAATTTGGAAGAACGAATACAATTCTTTGAAATTTAAAATAATCGAACGAACGAATGTAATTCCTTTTAGAATTCTATCCGGAAAATTCAGTGGAATTTTTGGGAAATAAAGTTAGTTCAAGAAGGTTGAAAGTAAGAAGGAAATGTAGGTTAAAATTTGGAAGAACGAATACAATTCATTGAAATTTAGAAAAATCGAACGAACGAATGTAATTTCTTTTAGATTTCTATCTGGAAAGTTCAATGGAAATTTTAAGAAGTAAAATCAGTTTGAAAAGGGTGGAAATAAGAAGGACGATTAAATTTGGAAGAGTGAATCTTGCAAGTTTAAGGAAACGGGTTGAATGAGTACGAAAAGAAACTGAAAAGAAAACTGAAGGGTGTATTTTTTTCGCCTCACCCGTTATATCAGAGAGAAACAGGAAGGTTATTACTCCCGGGCAGGTCGGGCCATCTATTTCGAGCTTGGGGCAATCCGCCAAACTTATGTTAATTGTACGAATTATCATTTCTAGAGCTCGACCGTCCGTGGATGATAGATATTATTCTCATCTGGGTTACGCGAAAGTGTCACCATTTCCCCCGGTGTTCTCCGGTTATTTCTGTTAAACGTGTGATTGACTCACAAACCGAAATAAAAGCGACAATAATCACAATTGGACACCGCTTCCTCGAAGAATCTCTACTGCTGCGTCTGTCACTTAAATACGCCGCTTAAGTGGTCTAAATAAAAACTTGAACGAAATTGAATTTCTCACTTATCGTGTGTTCCGTCGATTTGAAATACAATTGTCTGGAAATAGTCGGAGTTTGAATCGTTAAATGGAGCTATTGATCAAAATATCGTAAAACGTTAGTTGTAATAGTGAAGATAGAAGGGTTGAAATATCCTAAAGGGTTGAAGTTATTGCTCTAAATATCTCGAAATGGAAATTATATGACTTACAGTGCAGGACAAATTTTTCTCTGTAATTAAGAAAACCGAAAATTAACGTAAATTTATATTATAAGACAATAGTATAACATTAAAATTTTGTTGGATATTCTTTAGAATCAATTATAGATTGCATTCTTTTAGGGATAGGCTCCAAAGCTTTGTAAATTATTTCGGGAGAAATACACAACCAATTTTCGTGAATTTCTGAAAATAACTTAATCTGTTTTTCGAACTTTTCATTTTTTCTCTCATTTCTTTACCTCTTTATTTTGTTCCTTTTTGTTTATTTCCATAACATCATGAAGAACGCACGAAAACCGAGACTTTTCTCCGAACTTTTAATTTTTCCTCTCATTTCTGCTCCTCTCTATTTTGCTTCTGCTTTCATTTCCATAAGATTATAAAAAACGTACGGAAACCGAGACTTTTCATTTTTCTCTCATTTCGTTTCCTCTTTATTTTGTTTTTGCTTTAATTCCCATAAGCTCATAAAAAACATACGAAATCCGAGACTTTTCTCCGAACTTTTAATTTTACCTCTCACTTCAGCTCCTCTTTACTTTTTCTCTCCGTAAGATCATGAAAAACGTACGAGATAACCATTTCTCCAAATACAAGACACTTTCATAATCACCGTGTACGAACAACCATCGGAACAACGTCGTCGCATTACACTCCATTTTTCCACTCACTGCTCCCCTCAACCCTTGTCAAACGCTGCAGCAATAAAACGCACCGTGACGTGATTCTATCGCTGCGACCATGTGTACGTACCTTACTCACTTATACATATGTACATTGGAGTCGCGGCGACGAACGGGGCGACGCATAAATCTGTCGCGAAAAAAAGGCAGTCGGCCGATCTCGATCGGTAATTTTACTTCGAGAACGGCACGAAGTTCACCGCGGTCCGATTGTTCTGCGGCCCGTGGAACAAACCGATCGAACGCACGACGTTTCCGGCACTCGGCCCGCTGGCTCTCGAGATCAGGTTCGATCGATCGAACGTCCGCGTAACGGTGCCACGGATAAATGCCGCTCGATCAAAGTGTATCGAGAGGGAATTGATCGTGGAACGATTCACGGTTTTTTGCAGGGTGATACTGGCGCCTACAGATCGAGAGCCAACGTTGGCATCACCGCTGGTACTTTCGGGAGAACGGCCACGGGAAGTGGGCTCCCGAGTTGCAGAAACAGCTACTCGTCGTCCATCGGTTCCGGTTCCAGCCGGGTCCCTGGCAAGGACAGGGTTTCCGGCTACGGGAACGCGTTCCTCAAGAGAGACAAGCCTGAAGAAAAGCACACCTTCAAGTATTCCAGTGAGTTCCTTTTTTCGTTCCTTGCGTTTCGTCGGTCTCTTTTTTTTTTTATCGTAAAATACTCAAGCTAAATTGAAAGGAAGAAAAATTGGGTCGTTGATATCTCTCGTGAAATGTAGCAACGGTTGTTCAATTTATACGAAATATTAACACTTTGCGTATGGGTCACGAGATGTATCGAACTTTTTGGCCAGGTTACGAGATATCTCGTTTCAACGTTTCTTCATACGCGCGTATCGACGACTCAAGAAATTAAAAATAGGTTTTCTTGTCACGTTACCGAGGCAACGAAGCCTTGTATATCCTTATGACAAATGATTAGCGAAATAAAAAAGAAAAAAAGTAAAGTCTGTTCGTCCAATGGAAAATGGGGCGAAACCAGATACAGTTGCAAATTATGCCATACCAGATATCATACTCTGAAGCATTATTCAAGGTTGTAAAATAAATAATAATTAATCGATTTAATTCTATTTATATAATAAGTTATAGTTGAAATGTAAACAGGCCTACATGTTAAATAGATGTATAAGAAATATGCAGTAATATTTAAGAATACTTTATAAATGAAAAATAAAAAAGTGCATATGTGCATCGTACAAAGTTTTTTTCGAGCGTTCAAAAATGTGCGGGCCCTGGAAGCACGTTGAGCGAGTAGAGTGCTGTACGCAATGTGCGAACAATTTAATATTTTCCTTTCAATTTAACCTTTTTAGTTTCTTACAGCTATCGGTTCCCCTTTTACTGTAACGGACGTGGGGATAGAATGGTTGATTTGAAGGGAAAAAGAAGTTAAATTGTTGATATTTCTCATAGAATACAGTACTGGTTATTTGATTTACACGAAATATTAACAACCTAATATTTTTCTTTCAGTTCAAACTTTTTAGTTTTTTTTTATAGCTATGGGTTTCTTTTTTATTGTAACGGGAGTGGTTATAGAAAGAGCTACATAGTGTGAAATATTCCGGATAAATTAAAAGAAAGAGAAATTAAAATTGTTGATACTTCTTGTAGAATACAATAATGGTTATTTTAGTTTATATGAAATATTAACAACCTAATATTTTTCTTTCAAGTGAGTTCTTTTTTAGTTGCTTGTACCTGTTGGTTTCTTTTTTACTATAACGGGCGTGGTAATAGAAAGAGTTATTGTAAGATACTCGAGTTAAGTTGAAGGAAAAATGTATATTGGGTTGTTAATATTTTATATGAATTAATAATCATTGTCATGCTTTATGAGATATTTTATTAACTTTTGTTTATTGGGATTACTGTGTTGTAAAGTATATGTAACTTTTTTAATATTTAACGTTATTGCTGGATACTCAAAGTATTAGGCTGTTAATATTTCATACAAATTAAATAATTACTATTATACTTTATGAGAAATTTTATTAAGCTTTGTTTATTGGGATGACTGTATTGTAAAGCATACGTAGCATTTTTAGTATTTAATGTTTTTTCATATTGTAACCATTGTCGATAATTTCAATCTGAGGTGAAATTGGGATAAAGTATTAAATTGATAGCTAAAACAGAATAAATTTTTACGAGAGTAATAAACAAACTGTACCCCGCATGCAATTCTGTTACGAATACATTCATTTCCAGTGCATGTAATCAAATTCTATCAAGCAGATCAGTAAATTTCACTACGTTCGAATGGTTACAGCGAATACAGGCATAACGTAAATGAATATCGGTAAAATCAGAAATTTATAACTTTTTATACAACGTTTTATTACATGAATATTTAAAACATGACATGCATCGTAATAAATTTGCGCAAAGTTAAAATCGAAGAAGAGAAAATGAAAATCTGGGATATGCAAATGAAAAAGAATCACATTTCACTGACCCTTAAAGTACAACACTTCTTCGTAAATGTAGTAAATAGAAATTACTTTACAATTTCAATTTACATGCAAAATTTAAAAAATATAGCAATCTAGAATACACAAATTTAAAAAAAAATGATGTTCAGCCTTAAAGTACAAAATTTCTCTGCAAAAGAAATAAGTAAAAATTACTCTAGAACTCTAATTTGCATAAATCAGAGAAGAAGAAAGATTGTAATCCAGAATACACAAATTGAAAAAAACGATATTCAACCTTAAAGAGCAATATTTCTCTACAGAAGAAATAAACAAAAGTTCCTCTACAATTTTAATTGGTACGAAACCAAAAAAGAGAAAAATTACAATGTAAAATATCCAACTAAAAAGAAGTATCACTTTACTAGCTTCATAATTTTGCATCGATACTCTCCAAATATACTAAACGAGAATTACTCTAAAACTTTAATTCGCCTAGAAATTTCACGAATCACTGGTGTTTTCAGGTACGAAGGACACAGAGAAAAGTAGGCTGCACCCTGGAAGATCGTCGACAGAGGACGTAAGGGCGAAGAGTCCATTATCGAGCAGCAGATCCTCCCTGTTCGAGAAGTACTCGTTCCCAGCTGCTAAAACTTCAGACAGGCCCGCCTCCGTCCTCGACAGATATAACCGTGCCACTTCCCGCGAGAAGAGCAGAGAGCCCGACGGTGTATCGAGATACGGATCAAACACGTATCCCGGCTCGGGCTTGCCACGAACTTATGGAAACGAAAGTAGAATCGAGAAGAAAGAGAGGGCTGATCATCCGCCGGTATCGTACCGTGGATTACGGCCGAACTCGGGCAGGAGTTCCCGCGAACCTAGCCCGGAAGTGAACGTCGGGAAATCGAACTCCTTCAGAGTGTACTCGAGGGCCCCTTCCTACGGTCGATCCGGTGCCACTTCTAGTAAGTGAATTTTTTTTTCCCTTCTTGCTGACATTTTGACGGAAATGGAATTTCGTTATTTAAATCGGGGGCGAGGATGAGTGATCCTTGGAGGTCGAGGAACTTTTATGCGGAGGAAGCTTTAGTTTTGTGGGCGGCTTTTAGTGCGGCTTTTCTGAAGTGTAATTCTTGGAAATGGGGATACTTTTATGCAATTTTTTGTAAAGTGTGGTTTCTGGAAATGGGGGAAATTTTTGGGCAATCTTTTTTTAAGTGTGATTCTTGGAAATGGAATTTTTATGCATTTTACATTCTAAAGCATAGTTCTTGGAAATCTGGGAAACTTTTATGCAATATTTTGTAAAGTGTGATTCTTGGAAATGGAGGAACTTTTATGCACTTTATTTTTGTAAAGCATAATTCTTGGAAATGGGGGAAATTTTTGTGAAGCATAATTTTTGGAAATGGGCAAATTTTTATACACTTTATTCTCATGAATCGTAAATTTTGGCTTCGGAAGCTTCGGTTTTGTATATTGCTTAGTGCAGTTCAAGATAAATTTTCCACGATAGCTTTATTTTTGTGAAGTGTAAGTGAAGTTGGAGGAATTTTTACGAGAAGGAAGCTTTAGTTTTTACGTTGCTTGTTAGCGCAATAAAAATTTAATTTTTCTAATATATTTTTGGTTATTTTTTTTTTAAACGTACGCCTTAAAGGTGTACGGAATTATTCCTCACGTTTGTCTGAAGTGTCACATAAATACACATCTAAAACACTATTTCTCCGACATTAATATTTTATGCACATAATGCACCTTGAAAACAGTTGTGAATTTATTGTAGAATGTTGCGGGAAATGTGATACTAGTCAGTAGGTAGTAATTCCTTTATACCCCGGAGGATCGTAAAACAGTATAGGAAACTTTTCACGCGATATTTATAGCTATAAATTGTAGCACTTGCAAGGAAGCTATCCCACGGGAAATGGTAGCTTGTTCCAAATCAATTGACCCTACAAGGTCACGATAAAAAATAAACTCCACCGTAATATTTAACAACATTTTCTTTATATTTTACCTACCAACACAAGTGTATATAAAAAATACAATATTCATCTCAAATATCCTTTAACACTAGAACTACCAGAGGAGTTAGAATGACACATGACCGACTTTAAAAAAGTGAATTTTTACGTAAGTAAACCATAATTGGAAAATTCGATTCATATCGATACAAATAGAAGCATACCTGTAGAAAATAAATTCGGAAAGTTAGAATTGATAACACTTACCAGTATTGAACATTCACGTTTTCTCGAAAGATACTAATGGGTCATTTTGAAAAAAAAAAGTATCTCTTCTCCTTTAATTCTACATTTCATCAAATTGCATAAATTGCATAACCCTGCAAATATCATAAACTATTTTTATATACCATAAATTAAATTACTTTTATCAAAAACTATTCAAACTTAAACCATTTTTCCCAATTTCTTCCCAAACATTTCATTCTACGAGTAATGCAAAGCTAGTAAAAAACAAAGTGCGCTAATTTTAATTTTCATTTAAAAATGATTTTCAGGCGCCTCCGAATCGAGCTCGACGCCAATCTCCTCGAGATTCGGCTCGACAGCTGGTAGCAGGTTCCTCTCGTCGAGGAGCTCCAACGACCGGATACCGGCAGCCATAAGCTACTCCGGATCGGACAGGTTCCGAACTTCAGGCAGTAAGCCTATGCCGGCGAACTCCTCGAAGGACGAGGATGCCTCGAAATCCAAGCCGGAAAAAGACAAAATCCCCGAGGTACGTTCTAAATCCGACGAATTCGATGCCGACAACAGGCTTCAGGACATGGAAACGATCACGATGGTGACAAGAGGAACGTCGCCGAGTCCACCAGCATCCTCGTCCTTCGTGAGAAGCAGAAGAGCCGACATAGGCATCGCGAATCAACGAGAAGTGAGTCGAGTTCGGAAGAAAATCGACACCAAGGATCAGGAGGTTCAATGCGACCGATTGGAAGATAGCTCGAGGTTCTCGAGGTTCGGAGGAGGCGGAAGGATAGCTGGAACACCGTGGTCCACGTATCTGGACAAATTTTCCACCTCGAACTCGAGCGGAGGTGGCGTGTACTCGAGAGGCTACAACGGAGGCGGCGCAGCGAATTCTCGAGTGAATAATTTCGCTTACACAAGGTCGAACGACGCAGGTTCGAGGAACGAGTCGAAGATGTCGCCTAGTTCTAGTCAAGAGATACACGGGAACAGGAACCAAAACGAGCAGAATGCCAAAGTGTTCGGTGGTTTGGGTTTCAGCAAAGTCGCCGGTGATTCTTCCGGTACGAAAACCGATTCGAAGGCTTCGATCGGCGGTGGACAAGAGAATAGGGATCGTAAGGGGGATAAGTTGCAAAACGGAGAGGCTCGACCGTGTACCGTTGGAAAGGCCGAAGGGAAAAGCGATCGATCGGCCGGACCTTCGGTCCTGAAGAGGGACAACTCGCCTCAGCAGAGTGGAATTGTTGGGAAGAATCAAGGTTCGCGGGAAAACGTTTCGAAAAGCGAAGAACAGCAGAGCAGCAGGGAAAGTTCGGTGTCGAAGAGCGAAAGTAGCAGTCAGAGAAGACCTTCTATACCGAGATTAGGACGAGCCGCGCCGAAGAGCGAAGTTAAGATTGCAAAGTCGTCGTCGAGTTCGTCGACTAAGTCCGATGGACTACGTGAGAGGAGAGGATCAACGCCTAAGTCTGATACTAGTTCGAAATTGGACGAGTCTTCGAGGATTGTTGAGGGACACTGTCGGGAACCGAGCGAAGACAACCATTCGACGAAGAGTGAAAACGTCTCGTCTGCGAAAGATTCTTTTCAGAGGTAGTTCTCCATTTTTGCTAAGTTTCAAGTATTTCTTTATTCGATGTTTGAATAAAATGTTAGGTGATCCCAGAAGTTCGTACAGAAAGCGAAAAATATTCTAAAATTAATATAGCATTGTAGTATATTTTATGTTAGCCTTTTTTCTAAATTTTCAAGGCCATCTTCAGTTTCTTTTGTAGATAAATTTATAATTTTTCTTATGTCTATCTTTTAGTGGATGTTGAAATAATCTTGAAAATGGGGACCATTAATTGCAGTACATTCACGTAGATGGTAAAGAGATAGTTATACTTAGTTCCTTTTATGATATCTGCACTTGTCTACAAAAACCTGAAGATGACCTTGAAAACTTGAAAAACAAGAACCACTGATAAAAAGTGTGCTATTAAATAGTAAGAATAATTTAAGATCACGTTAAATGGAATATTTCTACCGATTTCGATCGATCAAAAAATCTTCCACAAATGACAATCCCATCCCAATCCTCCCCGTTACTATCAGAAACACTTGTTCACGTATCATCTCTCATTTTTTCCCCACGAAACAGTTGTACTTCCCAGAGCAGATCGACCACGTCGCAGTCCCGCAGCGGTTTCGCGAAAAGTCTTCCACGTCAAGTGACGCGAACGGACTCGTCAGACGGTTCCGCTGTAAATGTGCCAATTGGCAGATCGAAATCGTCGTCAGCCAGTTCGGTGACGAGTCAGGGTGCAAAAATAAAGGCGACACCTCCGCCGTCGCCGGGGAAAACTTCCGTGGCGAGTTCGAGCGCGTCCTCGTCAGTGAATCTGAGACAGGGCGGTTCGCCGGATGCTCGTGGGAAACCACCTGTGCCGAAGAGCGACGCCACCGCGGCGTCCGCGTCCAAGAGCATCGTTCCCATCAAATACGTGAACAAGGACTTCCGGAAGTCGACTCTGAACATGGAGAACGGCGATCCAACGCAGTCCAAGTACGCGAGGAAGAAGAAGAGCCAACGTAGCATGTCCGTCAGCTCTCAAGATTCGCAGTCCGAACCGAACTCCGAACCGAACGTTCATCGTCAGGCGATTCCGTCTGAATCGAGCTCCAGCTCCGTGAAATCGAACAAATCGAGACTGAGAATACCGTCCAGCGCATCCTTGAAGAGTGTCGGTAGAAAAAGCGAGTCAACGAGTTCGTCGAGGCTTGACAAATCAAGGAGCACCTCGAAATCGCCATCCGGGAGGAAAGACAAGGAAGACGGAACCTCGAGTTCCAGCGAGAATACCGAATCGAATTCCTCGAATTCCAGCAGCGAGGAGGAAGAGGAAGATAACAAACAGACGAGACCGGGATCGAGGCGACGGAAAAGACGAACGTCCAAGTCACCGTTCTGCGAGAAGAAAGGAAAGATAAGCAGCACAGGATCGTCGAGAACGAGCGTACTGGCATCATCTGCCGACGAGATGTCTCTCACGATGGACAAACCGCCGAGACCGCCGTCTAGCCCAAGATCGAGAGGCGATCGTCCTGGAAAAACGGAGGACGCGAAATCGTTCCTGATGAGGGCTCTCGCGCCAGTGACGAATCTTTTCAAGAATAAGCATCAAGATTCCAGCGAGTCCGGTAAATCAGCTGGTGGTTGGCTGGATTCCAACGAGGAGAGCTCCGACGTGAAAAAGTCGGAACAGAATGTAGCTGCCGCGGCGGGTTTATCGAAGAGTCTCTCGAAGAGCTTCAGCTTCACCAACTCGGAGAAGAGCGAGGAGAGGAGACAGAGCAACGCGAGGATCAGGCGGAATTATTCCGGTGAACAGCCTTGGTGGATGGACCCGAACTCAGACAACGTTCCCGAGGGTGTGGAGACAGGCAGTGTGTGCAACGACGACATCAGTCAAGAGACAACAGTCAGCAGCACTCTACCTGACGATGGTGAGTCAGCGTTTTCACTTCTTACACGTTGTCCCGGTTTTGTTTTCATACGTACGTGAAAAATGGGGGAGATCTTCGTTACAGTTCTCGATGAAAAGTTGCGCGGTAACGATTCTTATTTCACGTGTGTTTAAAATTCTGAACTTTACCAGCGGATTACTTTGAAAAAACGCCAAATTGTTTCATAAACTATTTAAGCTTCTTTCTTTGAAAAAAAATTACCCAATTTTTTCATAACTTTTCATAAAATTGAGAGTAAGAATCGAGATATATGTTCCAACGTTTATTCGCCGAAAGATCGGAATTACAGCGAACCCACGTTTCCCCTAAACTTCATAAATCACAGAGCCCAGAACAACATAATCATCGACCTTAAATCACCCTCCTACCATCTCGTTCAGCTCCGAAGGCTCAGAAGGAAACGTAAATTAGCGCGATCCGTTTAGATAACCGGCTCCCTCTAATTGTCTGTTCCCAGGCAAATTTAAATACAAAGTGTGGAGACAAGAATCGGAGGATCGAGCCTGGTGTTTCGACTCGAACGACAGCGGTGCCTCGGAGGACACGAGGAAGCAGTCGGCGACGATTTCGAGGCAGGAATCAGGGGAGAAGGGTTTCTGGTTCGATTCGAACGATAGCGCGCCGTCGGAGGAAACGAGGAAGCAATCCTCGACGACATCCAGGCGGAATTCCAGCGAGAGGAGTCGTTGGTTGGAGGGGAACGATAAGATTCCCTCCGAAGAATCGAAGAAATCGTCGCGTTCGGCGTTGTGGAAGCAGGATTCGGGCGAGAGAGCCTGGTGGTTGGACGCGAGCGACAACGCAGGCTCGGAAGAGTCGAAGAAACAATCGTTAAACGCGTCTCCTGTTGCGAAACGAGAGTCTAGTCGTTGCAGCACCAGATCGAGCGATAGAAGAAATCGTATCAGGCATCAGCAGTCCGGAGAACGAGCTTGGTGGATGAGCGACAATCCTGAGAACGTACCTGACGGTGTCGAAGTCATTCCTGTCGCCACAACTCCTCCTCAGAATCTGAGCAATTACAACGACGAGGTGGAGGATGGTCAAACGTATCGCGGTAGAGTTATAAACAAAGTGAGACACGTGGAGTCTGGCGAGAAGGCATGGTGGATGGACAGCTCGTCCAACGTTCCTGACGGCGTCGTTAAGATTCCCGTGGAAACGTCGAACAGCACATCCGACTCGTCCGAGTCGTTCGAGAGAATCGATATTGGCGTTAACCCTGAACCTGAGACATACGCGAAGAGAAGCCTCTCTAGATTCCCTATCGAGTTTCCGCCACCTCCGCCCGACGAGCCACTCGGGGATCGAGCCAGTCCCGAAGGGGTAAAGTGATCATATATCGTGCATTATTCATTTAACGGTACCTAACTGACGAGTCGATACTACTAGAACGTCGTAAATCTTTAACCTTGCTTACTTGCCTGGGGAATGAAGTTTTTAACCCTTGTTCGAGAAATCGAGCGAGCGTGCTAACGGTTCCAACGAAACTTCTCAGAAAAGATGTAAATTCACACCCATGTACTATTAACCCGTTCGAATAAGCCAATGTAGCGAACCTCCTACTCTCTGCCACCAGAGGGACGGGACTAACCACAGGTTCTCGCTAGTCCTCGTAAAGGCTCCTATTTGTAATATATATACCTTCTGACCTGAGTCCCTCCAGCGTCTAAGGCACGGGTCTCCTAGAAAGCCTTACCGACGAGTCCACTAGGAGGCCCAGGACGAAACGCCCCAACCTTTCCCTTTCCTACCTAGCTTCACTAACAATCCTCGAAATGAATTTCAGAACTAACAGCAACCATTGCTGGTGAATTAAAGTAGAAGCAATTTCTCAGTGGAGGAACTTGCCCCCGTGAATTAGATCGCAGTTTACCTCGTTACAAGCAACCCCGTGCACTTCTCAGGTGGAGAATCCTCCGGACCCGCCGCGCAATTATGGCGGACGCGACTCGCCTTACGACAACGTGCAGCCAACACCCCGAAGATCGTCACCAAGGAAACGACCCTCCACGTTACCGTTGTTCATTGGCGAGCACACCAACATCGACGACCTGCTGGGCGACACGGCCACCCTGTGTCCCAGCCCCATCTTGTCTCGTATCCGTGAACATGAACGCATAGTGAACGAGGGTGAGTGTTCTCCGATGAATTTCCCGCGATTTCGATCGTGAGCTCGTGTTACCAATTGTGTGCCTGCGTGCGTGCATCGAATACGGTCAGCGTAGAATAGTTGCGGGCCTTGTTAACGACTAGTACGACGGTAGTGTCCCTTTGAAGAGAATAAATGGGAATCTTTCCTTTTGGGAATTGCGGTGTGCTCGTTGGATGGGTGCTGGAATCGTGGATACGTGAATACACGCTGTTGGATTTTGGGGAGCTGATAGGATTAGGGGGCAGTTTCGTACGAATAGATTTTCGAGATTGTAACTCCCTTGATGAAGGGAAATTTGAAGGTTAGAGGGGTGTAGACGAGAAATAACGAACTATGTAACTGTAGGTCAGTCATAATTGCCGGGTGAGTTTGGGAGGAGATAGTTAGGGGCTAACGATGTTACGGTAGAATTGAATTTTGGGGAATTTACGTTACGTCGTTTGTTGTTGATACAGATACGGAGGAAGAAAGTTCCGAATGCGAGGAGATCGACGCAAACCAAGTGATCATCCACGACAGCACTCCGCAGACACCGGTGATACAGCGGCGGCATCGGTACGTTTCATGTCGATAATCGAACGTGAATTCCGATACTCGTGGATGCTTGATTGTAATTAAGCGATTTTCTTCAGGGACAACGAGAGACCGCAACCTGACGGCTACATTCCGGTAAGTTTGTCTGATCGTTTCTTTCTTCATTTGTGAAATCAGGGGCTCTACTCTTCTGTTTAAAAAGTTTCTCTCGTCGTTGATCAACGTTTACGATTATTACTTCGTTGAAACATACGAAGAAGGATCGCGGAACAATCTATAACGGTTGAAGTTTCATTACTGTACTGTTTCGCGCGAAACACCGGAAGAGACAGGGGGGAGAGCACGGTGAAACAAGGAACAAAACTTCTTTCGTTTCTTCTGCAGCTTTCCAGCGACGCGGTTCTTTGCGCGCCCCGTTATTCGCGTGCAATTCTTTTCATGATCAGTAGCTGAAGGAGGGTAGTGTGTAGGTGGTCGCGGATAGGAGGACGAAGCGCGTACTCGAAAAGAGAAAAAGGAAAAAGAAGAGAAGAGAGAGAGAGAGAAAAAAAAGAAGGCCAGACGAACAAAGACGAGAAGAGGGTAGACGACATCCAGGAGGAGTGGTAGTGCGCGCGACATTATTGTTTCTCATGAGGGATGTGCGAAAAGAGACCCTCCTTTTGCTCCAGACTCCCTTTTCCTTTCTTTTTCTTCCGTTTTGCACGCAAAGTGCTGGCAACAAAGGGGTCTTCTGGAGTCAGTTCCCCTCTGCTCGCAACTTTTCCCACTCGCCTCGGTGCAGACCGAATTCTCAATTATTACGCGGCAATTTCATAAGAGCTTTCGAACTAATTTGAATATCGCTGCAAACAACCCTCGTTGGAAATCGAAAAGGAGACGCTTGTATTTTAATTAGTTGACAGTAATCTTGGAAAATTATGTTTGGCAAAAATTATGCAAGTGAAGTTAGAGAATGGTAAGAATCGTTGGAACGTTTTACTGTCGCATCGATAAGGAAATACTGATTTTTCTAACATAATATAGTCATTTTATACGCGGGATATTTTCAAGTGTCGTGAAAAACATATGCAGTTCCATTTAAGTGTGCGAAAAAGTTCCATTTGAAATAGGATGCTAGAGCTTGTTAAACGATGCAAAAGTTTCCTCTGCGATCTTTCGTACAAGTTCACTTGGAACAGAGGTTCAGGCTGGCCCAGTTCCTAGAATCACCCTACATAAAAGTCTGACGAGTGAACAAACATTGAATAGCTCGCAATTCTAGTATTTTGGACACCTAAATAAATGAAGTAATAACGACATTAAAAGCAGCACAGAATCGAGCGTTAAATTTTTGTCCACTCGTCGGAGAGCAAATCGAAACAATACATAGACGTGCAAATCCCCAAGAGTATTGATTTAAAAAAAAGAAAAGACAAGGATTAACTTACAACAACAAGAACGGTGTGGAATTCTTTGTCCTCGCTGGTAGTCGGTCTACGAGTCACTCATATTTTCCCGGCGCACTATAGAATTTTATCGCAGCAGTGGCACCCTACCTCCCATCACGTTTCTATGGGTCCAGCAGCCCCTTTTGTGAGCTTGTCACCCTCGTGGGGTCTTGTAGTAGAGGGACAACAATGAGCACAGCCGCACTTATGGTTACGCTCTACGTGCTGCGCCAGCTGATTATTTTTTCACCGCACAATTACCATCCCTGCCGTTTCATTTGGCTCTTCGTTCCCCACGCGACGATCGCTCTCTCCTCCCACCCTCCCTCTGTCACTCTTTCACTCTTCAATTCTCTTTTTCTCTTCTTCATTCTGTCTCCCTCTTTCTCTTTCTCTCTGTCACTCTCTTTTTCTCTCCTCTCTCCTTCATTTATTCTTCTATCTTTCTTTCTTTCACTCACTTTCCTCTGTCTCTCCCCCTCACTTTACTCTCCTCTCTCCTTTTCTCTCCTCCATTTACTCTTCTCTCTTTCTTTCTTTCACTCACTCCCCTCTGTCTCTCCCCCTCTCTCCCCTTTTTCTCTTTCTCTCCTCTCTCCTTTTCTCTCCTCCATTTACTCTTCTCTCTTTCTTTCTTTCACTCACTCCCCTCTGTCTCTCCCCCTCTCTCCCCTTTTCCTCTTTCTCTCCTCTCTCCTTTTCTCTCCTCCATTTACTCTTCTCTCTTTCTTTCTTTCACTCACTCCCCTCTGTCTCTCTCCCTCTCTCCCCTTTTTCTCTTTCTCTCCTTCACTTACTCTCCTCTCTCCTTTTCTCTCCTTCATTTACTCTTCTCTCTTTCTTTCTTTCACTCACTCTCCTCTTTTTCTCTTTCTCTCTTTCACTTACTCTCCTCTCTCCTTTTCTCTCCTTCATTTACTCTTCTCCCTTTCTTTCTTTCACTCACTCTCCTCTTTTTCTCTTTCTCTCCTTCACTTACTCTCCTCTCTCCTTTTCTCTCCTCCATTTACTCTTCTCTCTTTCTTTCTTTCACTCACTCTCCTCTGTCTCTCCCCCTCACTCCTTTTCTCTCCTTCATTTACTCTTCTCTCTTTCTTTGTTTCACTCACTCTCCTCTGTCTCTCCTCCTCTCTCTTTCAATCTCTCCTCTTTCTCTCTCAATCTCCTTCCTTAACTCTCCTCTCTCTCTTTCTCTCCGTCACTCTCTCTTCTCTCTATTTTTATCTTTCAATCTCTCCTCTCTCTCTCCAATATTTACTCTCTTCCCTCTCTTTCTCACCTTCATTCATCCTGCTTTCTCTCCTTCTCTCTCTCTCTCCGCTTCTTTGTCTCCTGAAACCTCCACCCTTGAAAACATCGGACGGTACCGTATTCCGCGGCTATCTTTGCGGAAAATCGGGGAAAAGAGAGGAACGAGAGAAAGATGAGGGCAGCTCGAACGGGCTCCGGCAGAAAACAGGTCATTCCGACCGGCTGGATAAAGTTTGTTTCACGACAATATTGCCCGGTTTTTCGTTGGTTGGAAAACAACGAGCTCCACCGCGACCTGGAACTGTGTTCGTGGGTTTGTTCAGGACGTTTGGTCGGCGGAAAAAGCACGCGTCCTCTTTTCTAATTCTTTGCCAGACCGCAGCGGTTGCTTGACGTTTCCTTGCAAAATTTACCAATTCCGCGGTCTGTCCTCTTTTTTTTCGTCTGCGGACAAATTGCTAGGGTTGAGGAAATCATTTTGCGGGGAAAGAACGTAGCCGAGTTTTTTGTCATCGATGTGTCTCGTCTGGGTCTCGCGACAATGTACTTTTATCACTAAATTCTACCAATTCTATTTCAACAGTATTTTTTCGATATTATTTTTAAATTTTAAATTTCACATTAAATTTTTACATGTAGTATGTTTTCAAATTTTTAGTCATGACAGTCCTGATAATTAAGATTAATCGCGCAAGCAGACTAGTCTCTCCTAAATATAATTTTCAATCATCTCTGTACTGATGTGGTGTTTATATTTAAATACACAGATAATTATTACCTATCCTCCTATTCACGTATGGTAATTGTCCAGACACGGTTCATAAACTTTTATGCAAAATACTAAGAGCCGTGTAAAAGATTTAATAATTGCCGCACTTTACCGTGCTTACATATCGCATTATGCCTCTTCGAGTGCTGATAAGTTAACGCAATACCGACGTAACTCGGTAATTATCTCTAAATGTGGTCGCGAGAACAATTATTTGAAAACATCCAGTACGAAGGAGGCAGAATTGCACGGATAGGTTTAAATTTAGCCTCGCATCGGTGGAACAGTGAATCATCGGTAAATTTATTTACAAGGAAAATACAACGGAGCCTCGTCTAAATTGCATTTTTAATGAGATGATAATGGATTAACCTTTCGCAACAAACAACTCTTTCGTGGGTTATCTGTTAACGTACGTTCAATCTTCGTTTATTAAAAAAAAAACGTTAAAACGAAAATAAGTGAACACGCGACCTTCATACGTTCCTTATACTTTCACCATCTAAAAATCGTTTCCTACGACTATCAACTTTCCTGTTATTCCTCGGTATCCAACATCTCGTATCAATCACTCGGTACATGTACAACTGACAACGGAGAATTAATTTTAATTGGGTTAACTCGTTGCGTCACGTCGTTATCAGTGCATAATGCCTTCGTATGACCATAATAAACAGTAGTCCTAGTAATAAAGACAGCAAATATCGTCTCACGGCATCTCGTCCCGGGGTGCTCTTTGTACACTGCATGGAATAGGGAGGGGGTTGACCGCGTGGCGGCGCCACTGTCGCCTTAGTGGCGACAGGTGTCCGTGGCGTTCAGTGTCGCGGCGGCCGCTCGCGAGGTAAGGCATGGTATCAGTTGTGTATTCTTTCGATTCTTCTCGTATCCTCTTTTTCCCTTACCGGGTCTCGCTGTTCCGTGTTGTTTCCGTTCCGCGTACCGCCGGTTAATGTGCGCATCCTGACGAGTGTCGTACGCGGTCGCGGGCAAAGGTGACGCGCGTTTCCGTGCGCGGGAAGCGCGCGTGTCGTTCGCGCTCACTCTGTCCGAGTTTTTGTCGCGCAGACTCCGGTTCGACGTTTCGTTTACTGTATATACTTTCGTTCTACGTCCACCGGCTCTCCAGACGACGCAAAAATCAAGCAACAACGTGGCTGGCTGGACGATGTTGTTCGACTATTGACTGGTCGGTGTCACAGGTAACGTGAAACTCGATTTAACAATCCGATGTATGTACGTTTGGAAGTGACATTGTAAGGGACTGTCAGCAGTTCGATGTGTATGCCGCACGATGTTATTGTCAATTTTATGCTTCACGAGAATACTAGGAACCGATCGTTTCCACGAATGTCGAACGTTTCGACTGGTTCGAACGACCTACCGCTGGCTACCGTACTGTGTTATTTATTTTGGAGGTTAGGTTAGTTATGTAGTGTATAGACGACAACATCTGCAGTTCACAGAATCGCCTCGTTTTTGCTGTCCTTCACCTTCGTCACCGCTGTGTTTTCTGTAACGTCATCCTTATTCACATAAAGATTCCTATGAATCGTGCTGTCAGTTGTTCATAGTAATACGTTAACAAAGGAAACGTACGAATGTTTCTATTCCGTTTGGACGAATTTTTACGAGATTAGAGGATCGTACTTCGTAAACATGCAGATGTTTATGAAAGTGATGTA